GCAGGGCTGATTGTATCTTGCCTATACTCCTGCTTATGCACTAAAACCGTTTCGAAGATCTCTCGTGTTTATTAAAAACCCATAAACCCTGGTCCTTTTACCAGACACATAAGTCTTAAAGCTCGCGTCTCATATTTACGAGCATTTAACACTTGGTCGGAAGCTCACGTCAGTGGTTGGTTTCGACAGAAACGCGGCCCCGGCTAATCACAAATTTTGTGATTCGTCAACCAGTCACGGAAGCCAACCAAGTGTTAAATCCAACCAACTGTAAAACGGATAAAATATGAGACGCCCTCTTTAACTCGTACACGCACGCAGGTCTCTTATTATAAAAAACACCCAAATATGAGAAACAACCAGACACCCCCTGTCTTCAATTCGACACAGTCTTATATCCGGGCGATGATGGTAATCTTGTGCAACTTGGTCTGGGGGCTTTGAGTCGATGTGAGGTCAGGAGAATTCCAATCCCTTGCAAAATACTCTAGATGGTGTCAATAGAAGATATTACTGTACCCTAACACTCCATGTTGGGTTGAGAAAAACCCTTAGGGACTTCTTGAGGCTAGTCCATAGTGAAGTATTGCAGCAGTGAAGTATTGCAGCGGAAGTATTGAATTCCTGTACTGGTTGATATGAGAACAAGAATTGAATAATAATGAGAAAGTACGATAAATATATAGTCGATCAAAGTACCTAATCGATAATGTACCTATTCATTAACCGGGCTGAGTATCAAGTCGACTCTATGAAGCGGTACTTTTGCTGTGTCATGCAAATAGTCACGAGACTATTCGCGCTCCTACCTGTAACTCATGCAAAGGGACACCTGCTACAGTAACATTCACATATGATAATACTCCAATGCTAATCTAGTGATTTTCTATTCGAACTACTGAATTGTCAGTCTATCTAATCCAACACTCTAGATTGCATATGACAAAGAAGCATCGATCGTGGTAAAGTACCGTCATCGCTCGGATAGAAGATAGTACTGAATTGAAGACATAATGTCTTTTATACGGGTTTTTCAAGATAAGACACCCCCCTTAGTTGTCATATAAACAGAACCATACTTTAAAAAACGTAGCTACTTCATGTCTAGTTAAGACAAAATACATCATTTTGTGTTCTTTTCATGCAGCAGTCACACATTCTGCCTCTGCCACTCTAGCACGGGATGCAGGACCATCTAGTGCTGCTCTTGCTCCTGTCCATGCTTGTGCGGCCGTCTCTTCGGGTTCCACGAGCTTATGTGCTGCTGCTGCTGCTGTTGCTGCCGTTGCTGCTGCAGCTGCTGGTGCTGCCGCTGCTGCTGCTGCTGCCGCCGCCGCTGCTGCTGCTGTTGTTGCTGCTACTGTTGTTGTCGCTGCTGTAGATGCTGCTTCTCTTTAGTGAGCGGTATCGGGGTAGGGGTCATCAATGGCGGGAGTCCCAGCGTCTGCACCTGCCACCATGTCCTCCACAAGGTCCTCCACTTCTACATCCACAGTGTCATCTCTCCCCACAAACCCACTATCGTTACTAGTCGACCCCTCGCAAGGACATGTCCTCTGAGACATCGGTTGTGCTCCTTGCACGTTGGTGGGCCACGACGAGATGATTTTTCATACCGTTAAGGCTGCTGGAAATGTCGTATGTCTTGAAGGCATGGATGATGATCTCGCTCGGTGCATCATCCCATGCCTCGTCGATCTACTGGAGCACTAAGGCATGTGGTGGGCGCTTCAGGTTTCCTGCCCACTGTTTGACAGGCAACAACAGCGCAGCATCTGAGTCAAACCATGAGCAGGGAACTAAACGACCGGAAAATCACATTTTGGGGTGCACAAGTTGATGCCGTGCCGCATGAACCACTGACAATACCACGCACGCACACCGGCTTTGAAGGCTTGGTTGATTGACACGTCCAGCGGCTGAATCTGGCTGGTGAAGGTGGTTGGGATGATGCCAGGCACAATGTTGTGGAGGCGGTACGCTCCCATCATTCTTGGGGTGATGTGTCCCCCGTATGAATCCAGCACAATCAGCGCACGCTTGGCTGCTTTCCACTTCTCTGTGTTGAGGAAAGGGAGGATTTCACGGCTCAGCCACGTGGGGACGGCTACCTCATCCATTTGACCTCCTCACTGGCGTAGTCGCGATTCCACCTTCGTTCTCTTCAATGTCCGCCGGTAGGGCAGCGGTTTCGTCCTCTTCGTCATAGCGCCCGTCCTCGAGCCATACTTCCTCGTCGTCTTCTAAACTGTCAACATCAGACTCCTCGCAGCTTGCGACCGTGCTTTTGACGGCAATTTTTTTTTTTATGTTCGCTGCTCTTGGCCGAGCTGCCTCCTAAGCAGATGGCGACATCATCACCTGGCGAGTTGATACGGCCGCTATTTGCGACATACACGGCAGGTAGGTCATCGCGGGCCACTGCAGCCTGCTTGCTATGCATGGTCGCAAGAAAGCTTGCATCATTAGGTGAGAGGGAAGTTGGCTTCGAAGCGCAGAATGAACACACAGATGGGGTCGACCTGTCAGAGGTCCACTGGTGATCCCCGATTGATCCTAGGGAAGGGTTACAAGCACGTTGGCCTGGGGGGTTATGGGTGCACTCACCCGCTACACAAACAAGCCCTTTTATCCCAGTGGTTAGTGGCTGGGATTCTGACAAGACCCTGGACCCCCTCCTCTTAGGGCAACACCCTTAAGAGAAATGAACCCGCAGAAGAAGGAACGTTCTTGCAACAGAGCCCATCCACGCTGCCACACCTGATGCAGCCAGCAAAGCAAAACGATGCTCAAGCTGTCAATTGCTGCCAAGTGCAGGCGTATAAGCCAAATATTGCATGTGGACAAGGAAACGTGCCCTTTGTTCAGTCCTTGGTACTGCCGCACAAGAACGCTTTCTTTAAAGCCCGGGTACAGCATGGTTGTCATTTTTCAAGTTCAAGATTCTTGAACTTGAAATCGTTAATAACAGGGTTACCCTACTTTTCTTTACGGAACTCTCGCGAATCTGGGACAACGCCTAGCGACACTCTCTCCTCATTGGCTGATGTGCACAATCGCAAAACAGAACCGAGCGTCGCTCAGGTTGACCTGCTGTTTGGCTCACACATTTCTTGATCGCCTAGTAGTACTCATGACGGGCCTAGGCTCTCACGTAAGTAGAAAGCCAGTGCGCGATCAGCTAGTACCACGTGACCGCGATTTTTACGGCAACTCACGTCACTCATGCTGTCTCGACAAAAGCTGGGCAGCACAAGCCACCTGTCGCTGTAGATATTTACATACGTTGCCGCCACACTCACACGGAACGTCTGAGCCAAACGAATGCGACACCATTCTACCCCACGTTTAGCGCGAGTTGTCACTCGCGCTTCCCCTCGTCACTCGCGCCCGCCCTGGGTGACTCGCGCCCGCCCTCGTCACTCGCCTTGGGCCCTCGTCACTCGCCTTGGGCCCTCGCCACTCGCGCCCGCCCTCGTCACTCGCGCTTGCCCTAGTCACTCGCGCCTGCCCTCGTCACTCGCGCCTGCCGTCGTCACTTGCCCCTGCCCTCGTCACTCGCGCCTGCTCGGGATAGAATGCCTCCCCTCGTCATGCGTTTCCCTTCGTCACCCGCGTTTCCCTTCATAAAAAAATGTAGGTTGCGTTCTAGGTGATAAACGCCCTCCTATGCCTCGTTTGTGCTGTGCTGACTGTGATTTAGGGTGAGGGCAATAAACCACTAAGGGTATTGCGCTTTGTGATCGAAAACGGAGGGGGGTCCGAAGCATCATATACGACTGGTTGTTCAGCTACAGTGTCGAGTGTGATCTGCGGTTGATTGGGTTCGAAAGGTAGTATACGATGGTTCGCGAATGGCGAGATTTGAGCGGTTCAGGAGCTGAGGAGTCAACCGCGATCCACACCGCCCGAAATTTATGGCGAGATGGGGGAGGTAACGGAACTCAAACGATAGTTTACGATCGTCAATCTCCCAAAACGAAAATTCTTCGGGCGCGTCTGTTACCACTTGGTTCCAGCAACATTAAATACACTTCGGTGGAGTGTAAACATATAATGATCGTGACGGTTATCGTAGAGTTTATTATTTGTGTTCGTAACCTGGTAACAAGAACTATAACAGTGCAGTAATAACTGGTTACCTGATTATCCAATTATCGAAATAAGCTCATTCATGTATAATTAATGATGCTGATTACTCAATAACAGCCGCTAAAAAATCTCATTAATTAGAAATTAGTACAAACTACTAGCTACAATTAGCACTACACAGACACTACAGAGACACTACAGACATTAAAGCACTACACTGACACTACACAGACTACAGACACTACACCTAACAGATACTACACTACAAAAACACACGCTCCCACCCCTCAATCAAAATCCGCACCTTTCCAGAACCAAGCACCAACCCCTTCGGTTCATCACGCTGCAGGCAACTGGGGTTGTTCGTCATAGCCTGATGAAGGGCCGCCACGACCACATTGGTTTTCGCGCGGACATAGTTGCTATTGGTCGCCTGAACCCCCCCCCGAGGGAAGGCTGGCCCCTTCCCGGCCTGAAGCTTTCCAGGGGGGCTTCAACCTGCACGTAAGAAAACGAATCATGCACACGTGGTTAAAACATGTTAGCATTTAAACAAGTAGCAAAGCAACTACTTACAACGACACAGAGATACGCCAGCATAGGAATCTTCACGAGCACCAGGTTGGACGTCGCACATGAGAACCCAGCCAAAGCTGCCTTCTCGAAAACGATGTTGGCGAAGGGGACACCTTCGCTGTTAACGTGTCAGGCGTACCCAGGCACAGCTGCACAGGAAGCATGAAAATTATTAGTGAGATGCATAATACAGAACAACACAAAAGAAGCCTACAATACTCACCGTGCATGAAGTCCTCAAGCCACTTTTGATACGTCCGTTTCTTCGATGGGATTATCATCTCCACAGCAAGCTCCGGCCACCTACTCTCGTCCACCAGCCCACCCGCACCCTAAGCATAAAAGCGAATTTTCTTGTGCGTGTTCGAGCGCTTTGTCTTAATTACCTTCATCGCCAGTTTTTCGTACTCAATCTTGCCACCTGTTGCGAAGAAGTACTCGTCATGATTGACTCCACAAAGTCGGTACTTCACGATGAGATGCGGCTGGAACACTTCCCAAGTAGGGAAAAACTCCATTTGCTCCACGGGTGTTGACAGCCAAGTGTAAGTCTCCAGCGCCTTAGTCTGCAACAGACATGGGAAACAAATCAACGTTAAACTTGATAAGCGGACAGATAGAAGGTAGTATCAACTAGAAACAACCCTATCAAAGAAGACATGACTTAACATAACAAGAACAATTACAAATAGACGGTTTTAGCATATCGTTACTCACCGAAAACTCCTTAGAAATGAGGCTCGTCTTCAGGATGACGTTGCCATCCTTGTCCTTGGTCAGCACATCTATGTTCACCATGGGGTTGTCAGGAGACTTCTCTGGAATGTCAACCGCCAGTTCCGCCTCGAGCTCAGCCACGCGGGTACGAAGAGTCTCGCTCTCGGCCTCGGCGGCGGCAATTTTCTGGTTGGCTTCGCTAGACTGAAGCTCCAGGACCTCGATAGTACGCTAGAGATCCTCCACTACCGCCTACAGATGGCGATTCTTCCTGCACCAGTGCGCGCCTATGCCTGGAAAAAGAGAACCAAGAGTCAGTACGATGTTGCAAAACACGAGCAAAAACAAAACAAGAATGACATTGGCGAAGTAACTTAGGGAAGCACCCACCTTCAGAGCGAGCTCCGCGGGTGACGACAGGATTTCCGTCACCGAGCGCCATTTGCTGCTAACCAAGCTGCTGCTGCTGGCCAAGCTGCTGCTGCTGACCAAGCTGCTGCTGCTGACCAAGCTGCTGCTGCTGACCAAGCTGCTGCTGCTGACCAAGCTGCTGTTGCTGACCAAGCTGCTGCTGCTGACCAAGCTGCTGCTGCTGACCAAGCTGCTGCTGCTGACCAAGTTGCTGCTGCTGATAAGGGTGCTGCTGCTGGCCAAGCTGCTACTGCTGATAAGGCTGCTGCTGCTGAGCGGACCTCAGCTGATAAGCAAGCTGTTGCTGCTGAGCAGACTGCTGCTGCTGAATGTTATCATCATCGAACTCCTCGTCGTCATCCTCTTCTTCTTCCTCGTCCTGCTCTTCATCCTGCACCTCGTCTAGCTCCTTGTCGAAGGCGGACCGGTTATCCGTTAAAACTTCTCCAGCCAGTGCGCCAGTAGTTGCGTCAGCGAGGAAGTGAAGGTCATGCTGCTGCTGAGAACTCGTGAGCGGAGGTGGGTCCAGTTGAGAGTTGGCGTCAAGCTGCTGCAGGAAAGTCAGGCCCGTTGGTTGGCCACCGTAAGACTCTGGCTCAGGCGGCTCCTGGGTAGTTTCAGGATCAGGTAAGTTATCTGCGTCACGTGCTTCACCTCCACCCTTTTTGCCCTGCTTCTTCCCGTTCTTCTTAGCGGGCTTGGCGGAGCGGCCACCTTTCTTAGGAGGTGGCACACCTGAGAGCGCATGAAGACACTTCTTCTTGGAAGCGTTAGCTATGGACTCACGTCGCTTGAGAGCCTGCTCGTAGAGAGCTCGATGGCTGTTCACGAGCTCTTCAGCTTGAGCTTCTGTCATTGATGCTGCAAATAGCGATTCTAGCGTGACCCCCTCCTGCTCCTCCTGCATTCTCTGGACCCTTCTGGTCAGCCCATTGCCTGCCCGGTAATTGGTGTTCTCCACTTCCCCCATCGTAAATCACAATATATTACCAAAGTGGCCTAAACAGGGGTCATATACTAGCAATCCTTTAAGTCAGCATTCTGTTATTCAGCACGTAAAAGTTTATCCCGAGTTTTTTAGGTCGCGGGTGCGATGTCAGCAAAAACTGTACCCACGTCCACAAGCTGGAAGCTTTTGATTGGTCAGCTTCCGTGAGCTCGCGCAACCACGCCGCTTGCTCGTCGTGCATCCTGCCAGCTCCACGGCTCGTCGCCGTCAGATGACGGTGACAGCGCAAAGCTGTTTCTGAATGCAGCTAGCCGAAACCTTTGTGACCGTCAGATCTTCTTGACAGATAATAGGTGTGCAGAAAGGTGGGTAACGATTGATCGAGACCATCCAAAAGGAATCTTGACAGTTACAACACGACATTGAAGCAGAATCTTCGAGATTACAGCTCGGCATTTCAGCTTGAAAATGCACGGCATAACAAGCCAGCTGGATATATCTTGCTCCTCGCTGAGCCACACTTGATCAGCCACGCGGCAACTTCTGAGGGTGACACTCGTGCCTCCTATCCAGCAACAGGGTGACCCAATTAACGTGACTATGTTTTAAAGCGCTGGCTCGCTGCTGCTGCTCCTGATTGGCCACCGACAGTGTTTTGTGTGCGTTGGAACGCTGCAACGGGCTCTTATTGGCCATTAAACCCAGCATTTTGACAGCAGTTGGCAGTGTGGCGTGTCCACGCGTTGGCATTTCCAACATATTGATGCTGTGTAATATCACTTCTCGTGCGAAAAGTTCAAAAGGTCAAGCTCACTATTCAATTCTAAAAAGCATAGTGATAAAAACAATTTCATTACTTCAAAAACATTTCTACCTTTTAGATTACACATGTTGTATGGTTTTTAGTACCTGACCCTGCAAAATGTAAATCCTAGTCTCTTTTTTAGTGGAAACCCTCCTTTTTATGCCAACATATCGGTGTCTCACAAATTACACCAGACGTTAATATAGCAACGCCAGGCTATACGAATACCGACGACTGACTTCATTTGGCTGGGTCATCGTATGTTACCAAATGTACTTTTAATGATTATTAAAAGGGTAGTAATATATGAATCTAAAACTCTTAACCAAGTAATAGCAAAGTTATATTATTGCACGATTTCGCCTGCTATCAATTTTTAAACCATCACATCCACCTGCCAGATGCTGCGATTGACACCAAACCTAACAAGCATGCCAATAATATATAAAGTAGTTGAATGATCAAAAGAAACACTATTACAAATAACAAATGGACGTTGGTTTGGCATAACGTGTCGAACGGGCCTACCCTTGCACAGTATCAGGCCAGCAAACGCACAAACAAGCGTCAGGAGCTGCGTAGTTGTGTTAACGAGCTCCAAAAATTTCATATGGCAAGGGAATAGGATGTACTAGAAATTTGTGTAAAGAAATAGTGGTTAAAACAAAACACAGACGTTGAAACAGTGACATGTTGCGCACAGGCCTATCCTTGCACAGATTCAGGCCAGCAAACGCACAAACATGCGCCACGAGCTGCGTAGTTGTGCTAATAAGATGAAATCAGTTCCTATGGCTAGGTAATAGGATGTAGTAGAGAACTCTGTGAATAAGTAGTGGTAAAAAAGGCATCCAGACGTTGGCGCAGTGACATGTTGCGTGCCGGCCTATCCTCGCACAGATTCAGGCCAGCAAACGCACAAACATGCGCCGCGAGCTGCGTAGTTGTGCTAGCAAGATGAAATCAGTTTCTATGGCTAGGTAATAGGATGTAGTAGAGAACTGTGTGAACAATTAGTGGTTTAAAAGGCATCCAGACGTTGGCGCAGTGACATGTTGCGCACAGGCCTATCCTCGCACAGATTCAGGCCAGCAAATGCACAAACATGCGCCACGAGCTGCGTAGTTGTGCTAACGAGATGAAATCAGTTCCTATGGCTAGGTAATAGGATGTAGTAGAGAACTGTGTGAAGAAATAGTGGTAAAAAAGGCATCCCGATATTGGCGAAGTGACATGTTGCGCGCCGGCCTATCCCCGCATAGATTCAGGCCAGCAAACGCACAAACATGCGCCACGAGCTGCGTAGTTGTGCTAACGAGATGAAATCAGTTCCTATGGCTAGGAAATAGGATGTAGTAGAGAATTGTGTAAACAAGTAGTGGTAAAAAAGGCATCCAGACGTTGGCGCAGTGACATGTTGCGCGCCGGCCTATCCTCGCACAGATTCAGGCCAAGAAACGCACAAACATGCGCCACGAGCTGCGTAGTTGTGCTAACGAGATGAAATCAGTTCCTATGGCTAGGTAATAGGATGTAGTAGAGAACAGTGTGAGCAAATAGTGGTAAAAAACCCATCTAGACGTAGGCGAACTGACATGTTGCGTACAGGCCTAACCTCGGACACAGTCACAATCAAAAGCACAAACATGCGCCACGTGCTGTGTAATGGTGCGAACGATCCCAAACCATTTCCTAAGGCTAGGGAATAGGATGTACTAGGGAACTGTGTGAAGAAATTGTGGTAAAAACATTGCCCAAACATTGAAACATTGACATGTTGCGCACAGTCTCATTCTTGCACAGATTCGCCATGGAACGCACAAACATGTGTCACGTGCAGCGTAGTTGTGCATGCGACCTCAAACTAGTTCCTATGGCTACGGAATAAGATTTACTAGGGAACGGTGTGAAGAAATAGTGTTTCAAAAGGCATCCAAACGTTGTCGCGCTGACATGTTGCGCACAGGCCTAACCTCGGACAAAGTCACCATCAAAAGCACAAACATGCGCCACGTGCTGTGTAATGGTACGAACGATCCCAAACCACTTCCTCTGGCTAGGGAATATGACGTAGCAGGGAACTATGTGAAGAAATAGTGGTAAAAACAGCGCCCAGATGTTGAAACATTGACATGTTGCGCACAGGCTCATTCTTGCACAGATTCACCATGGAACGCATAAACATGCGTCACGTGCTGCGTACTTGGGCGGACCTGCTCAAACCAATACGATTGGCTGGGTAATTGGATGTAGAAGGGTACCGTCTGAAGAATTGTGGTACAAGAGACTGACAGACATTGGCGATCGAACACGATAAGCACAAACCGATTCTTGCACAGATTCACACAGGGACGCACAAACATGCGCCACGTGTTGTGTAGTTGTGTGAACGTGCTCAAACCAATTCATACAGCTACGAAATCGGACGAATGAGGGTAGTGTCTTGCCCGGTACAATCAATGTCGTGTTGTGCATCACCATGCGAAACGGTTCACTAACCACATATCTACAGCCCTATCAAGGTGAACTAGATGCACAACCCGCTTGATGTTATGTATCTCAATCACCTGATACCTAGCTACCAGTGGGGCCCATTTCAGGCGCTTGCATTTGGTACAGCTATCTAATGCAGGCAGCACGTCATAGTACTTGATGTATGCGTACTCCTTTGTCTTCCCATCCACCCTGCAGTGAAACAGCAGTAGGACCTTTGCATACCACTCCTCATGGCCAGCCGCTGTCTCCCCCTTCACAGCCACGTCTGTATACCATGGTTGGCCATGGTGTCTCGGCAGGGCGCGCACTCGATGAGGTAGTCGGCTGTACTGTGCGTCGACCGCCGCTGGCATGGCCATTTCCCAATGCACCTGACACCAAGACAAAATACAAGGTGAACGTGTTAAAACCTTAGGCATCTAACATTCACGAGACATGGTTTTTCGTCGATAGTAGTAACTACGACCATAACTAACCTGTATGCTCTTGATGTCCTCGCCCTTGTTGTTGCACCCAAGGGCTGCGTCCAGTGCTGTCCGCAGGTGCTTTAAATCAGCACCAATCTCCTTCTCGAGCATCACATCACGACTCGTCTGTGGCGCATTCGGGATGCAGAAAGGTGCCGCCACCCTGCCGCGAGGAACGTGGAGGAGCCAGGATCGACGCGAGAGCACTCGCATGCCCGTCCTTTGTGCCTGCGGGGGTATGTGGAATTGTATCACCACGTTAGACCGCAATAACAAACGATAGATGCAAGCGACAACACAAAATAATCACTAGACGCTCACCTTGATCATCGCAGTGTCGTACCTCTTCTTCGCTCCGAGCATGGGTGCGATTGCTTGCAACCGCAAGCGCTGCTCCTCGCTCTGTACAACCTGTGTATTCACTGTGTGCTTGTTAGATGCGCGGTATGGTGTCTTGATGAACTCTACGTACAAGTGCTCGTAGAGTTGGGCGGAGTAGTGCTCTGGCAATCCTGCACGACGGATCGAATCTATGAAGTGGCTAATGAGATGCAGTTTGATGAAGTTCCAGTCGGATGCCTTCTTGAAATGCGTCGTCAGGCCGTGTATCACCCTGCAAATAAATGAGTGTATGGATCAGATTTTGCACGAAGGGTGAATGGAAATGACGTGTCTAGCATAAAAGGCTTTACCGCTCACCGGTGTGCCTTGGTCTTCAACTCAGTCAGACTTGTCTCGGTGTGCTCGCCCGCTCGTGCACACTCCAGATACCACTCGACGTATGAAACCAAAGCCTTTATCTGATCGTCGGTGATGAACCCTTTTGCTATGAAAGGTAGAACCTGCATCACTGAACGGTGCTCGTAGGCCTGGTAGTTTGCCCCTTTTGCAAAATACTCACCCGATGGCAACCTCATGCACCCCCCCTCAATGACTTTCTAATCTCCTTTAGACGCTCATCGAGCAACCTCAACTTCGAAGGAAAGAACTCCTTAATGTGCGCCTTTATGCTATCAGCTATGTGATAAAAAATGCCGAGGTCAGCCTGGTGCATAATGTAGGGTAGCACTGCTAGGTAAGGGTTTAGCAGACTTTTCGCCTCCCATCGCCATCCCCATAAGTAGCTCTGTAAGAGACAA